GCACTGAAGAAGAAGGAAACTAGTTGAATTGGGTTGAATTAATACCTCAAATCCGTGAGCTCCCAAACTATGGTCCAAACAAAACCCATTCCAACAAAACCCATGAAATATCTTTGGGCCTTGTCTCCTTGCATAGGCTCAATTCATCTCCCTTGTTTTGGACCTAACATGCATTGAATTTAAGCCTAATTTGTAAAGAAATGGACTTAAACTCCACAGGCCCAATTAATCGAACCCAAAAAAATACCGAAACTTCATCCTTCAGAACCATCATCCTTATAAGCACGTTTGGGAATACCAAAAATAGTCGCAAAATAAGTGTTAATGCATCATATCACAGTTAATTATCTTTTAATTAATTAAAAAAAAATCGTAACCACTCAATCTTTATCATTGACACGTGCCATCTTTGTAAAATATATTAAGTAATTATTGTGTAAACAGCAGTATTTTTCCATTTCCTCCATATCTTCTCGTTTGGATAACAAAATATGTCAAAAATAAAAAATAAAGAATAATGGATTTTCTTTCTCTCTAGCACTGAAATTATTATTACTTACTTTTCTACATTTTTTATTATTTTAATTTAATTTTTTAAACATAAAATTTAAATAAAAATTTAATATATTCATAGTAATTAAAATTTTTTATAAAATAAAAATACTAGACAAAAATTACTTATAATTTTTTTATTATTATTTATATAAATTACTAAATTTTATTTAAAATTTATATAGAAAAATAAAAAATTAAATTAAAATTATTAAAAATAAAAAAGTAATAATAAATATATATAAGAGAGAATTAAGTATTTTAAATTTTAATAATTTCATAATCTAGAAAGGTCTTTAAACCCATTAGCTAATTATTTAAATATAGAAAACCTTTTCATTCAAATGTATATAATATGTTTGATTTGAGTAAATTGAAAAGGAAAAAAAATTTTATTTAATTATAGAAGAATTATAAGATGGAGAAGAAAATTTTACTTTATTTTATTTATTTTTTAATTTAATTATTCATCAAAATAAAGAGTAAATAATGGTGAGAATGAAGAAAAATGAAAAAACAAAAAAAATCTTTTCCCCTTTCCCTCCTCTTTATATCCCTCAACCTGACAATATGACCCTTTTCCTCATTCCCTTCTTTCATATATTGAATCATTTGGCCGTTTCCTATTAAAAAATGAAAAAAAAGAAGTAATTTCATGGTCATGAAGAAGAAAAAACACTTGTTTTATAAATTAAAGTTATTAAACCCAATAAAATGCAAAAACCCCAGATAACCCTTCCTCAGTTGCTGTTAACAGAAAATTAAAATAGTGCTATCGTCTTCTCAACTTCATCTTCCTCCTGGAAAACTCTTCATTTTTCCGTCTAAAGGGCACTATTTTCTATCCTTTAAAGCAACATATTTTAGTCTCTACCGAAGCCGCTTCTCCCATCTTCACCTTCACGACCACAATAGAAGATGAACGAGAACAAGACCAACAGATAGACGCAGTCAACAATGCCACGGCCGTGACCCAGGTCCTTTTTTTTTTTTTTTTTGTTTTTTTGCCTCTGTAATTCAAGGAAATCGCACG